AATGTATCAGATCACCTGGAACAGACACCTGAGGGAAGCAGGCTCTAATTAAGTCCTTCTTAACCATATCTCCAAAAGATGTGTAAATTGTTCACTGATGTTCATTAGTTTGAATTAGTATGGTTCCCATTTCTTGTGACATTACCCTGATGGCCACTACAGGTACATCGTGGGATCTGCTAGTACTTTCACAGCAAGAGTAATTTGATGTAGATCGCTGCTACCAATTTTCCTCAACTTACATTTTGTCTCGGGGCTATCCATTAATCAGTGGTAGGAAGTACGCCACCCTGAGTCTTTACAGAAGAATCACTATTCTTAGTTAATTGATTAAACTTATTCTTATTCCTTCAGTTTATGACATGATAGAAATAATTATATAACTACATTACTAGCCAGGCACAATTATTAGGTCTCACAGGAACTGTCCAGAATATATCTGTTCCAAATGAAGGTGAGTGCAGAACTTGCTGACTCAACTCACAGACTCTGTGAGATATCAACAGAATGGGTGGAGCTCAAAATAACATGAATATTAACTCCTTCAGAACTACTATCTTATACAACAGTCTTCATTTGACAGAAACACCAAGACTCTGGACGTGACATTTATACGTTAACATCTTCCTGAAGGGTGCCTCTTAAAATTCATCACAATACCCCAGCTGAAGTCAGACCAGTATTTCATTAAGTATCACCATAATGTCCTTATTTTTGAATTCAATTTGTCTACTTATAAAACCCAGGATCTCTTAAATAATTTTCAATTACAAAAATGTTCATCAACTTTCACCTTCAGAGATTTATATGTGAGAATCCTTTGATCTTTTTGTTTCTGCAGTCCCTTAATCAAATCATAGAACGGTAACAGAACAGAAAATCATTCTATTCATCATGTTTATGCTGGCCCTCTGCAAGAGTAATTCATCCAGTGTCATTATTTCATCTATTCCTCATTGTCCTGCACATATTTCGCCACTGATAGGTTCAATTGAAACTGTCTCACTTTGCTTTCAGGTAGTGCTTCCCTGGTACAAATCACCTGCTACATTAATAGTAAGGTTCTCCTCATGTTTTTGTTCATATTGTCTTTTGTTCCTAATCTTAAAATTGCAGCCTCTGCTTCTTAACCCTTCCACCAATGAGAAGGCTTTCTCCCTATCAACTTTGTCTAGACTTCTCAGGATTTTGAATGTTTCGATCAAATTTCCACTCAACTTTCCCTTCTCTGATCTACATGCAAACTGAAGTCTTTAATCCCTCAAACCATTTTCGTGAACTTTTTCTGCATCCTCTCTAATACTTTCACATCTTTCTTAAAGTATGATACTGAAGATTTGCACTCAGTTCTTTGGTTGAGGCCAAACTATTCTCTTATACAGGTTTAACATAACTTACTTGCTTTTAAACTCTATGTTACTTCTTAGAAAGCCCAAGAAGCTATATACTTTATTAACCACTCTCTCAACCTGTCTTGCCACCTTCAATGGTTAGTGCACATATGTACCTGTGTCCCTCTCTGGAAAAGCAGGCCCTTAGAGATGTGCACATTATTTTACATTACACCTCTATGTTATTCCTGCCAAAATGAGTCATTTCACATTTAATTTAATTTGCCATTTATCTTCCCAGTCCTACAACTTCCCACTCCTTGAAGTTCTATACTGACCTTGTCAAGGTTAACAACAATTCAAATGTTAACGTCATCTTCAAATTTTATATTTTTGTCCTGTACACCAAGGTGCAAATCATAAATATTTCAGCTAGTGCAGGGTCCTGACATCGAGCCCTGGGGAACTCCACTACATTCCTTCCTTTCCTGTCTTTCCGTTAATTTCATGTCCATGCTGCTATTATACTTTCTAGTCCATGAGCTCTAACTTTGCTCACAAGTCTCTTGTGTGGCAATTTCTCAAATACAAATGCTGACAGTTTGCAGAGCTCTGAGATGCAGAGAGACCTGGTGTCCTCATGCATGATTTGCAGAAGGTCAGCATGCAGTGCCAGCAGGTAATCAGGAAAGCTAAGACAATATTATGCTTTACTGAGATGGTAATTCAAAGAAAGAGTGTGGAGTTTATACTTCAGTTATACAGGGCATTGGTGAGATTGCATCTGGAGTACAGTGTACAGTACTCAAGGGTGTTAATGCATTGGAAGCAGTTCAGAGAAGGTTCACTATCTAATACCTGGAATGAGTGGATTGCCTTATAAGGAAAGGCTGGACAGACTAAGCCTGTATCCTTGGTGTTTAGAAGCATCAGAGGTGACTTAATTGAAACATACAAGATCCTGAGGGGAGCTGACCTGGTGGATGTTGAAAGGATGTTTCCTCTTGTAGGAGAATCTAGGATTGGGGTTCAGAGTTAAATTTAAGGGTTGTCCATTTCAGACAGAGATGAGGGGAAAATATCTCTCGCAATGTTGACAGTCTTCAGAATTTCTTTCCTCAAAAGACAGTGAATGCAGAATCTTTTTTTTTTTTAGGCAGAGCTAGATAAATTCTTGACTACTAAAAAGGATGAAAGGTTACTGGGGCTATGCAGGTATATAGACTTGAGGGTGAAAATCAGATCAGCCATAATCTTATTAAATGACAGAGCAGGTTTGAAAGGCTGAGAGCCAAGCTTATCCCTTTTTTGAATGCTTGTACTTTTAGGAAATCCATGAACACCATATCAACTGCATTACCTTCATCATTCCTGTCTGTTATCTCATCAAAGAACTCAAGTAAGTGAGCAAAACATTATTCGTCCATAACAAATCTGTACAGGCTTTCTGCAATTAACACACATTTGCCTAAAGGATTATCAATTTTGTTCCAAATTATCATTTATAAAAATTACCCTATCAACGAGGATAAACTGACTGGCTCATACCTCTTGAGCTTATCCTTGCATCCTTTTGAACAAAGATATAAAATTCTCAATTCTTCAGTTTGCTGGTGTGTCCTCTGTGCTAAGGAAAATTGGAAAATTATGGCCTGTGCATTTGCAACTTTCACTCACTTGGATGCATCTTATTCAGTGATGATACCATATCAACCTTAAGTACAGGCAGCCTATCCTCCTTATTAATTGTAAACCTTTTAAGTATCTGAAATACTTCTTACACTGTGACGTTGGTAATGTCTTCTTCCTTGGTAAACACAGAAGCAAACTATCACTT